CCAAGTTCTTGCACCTTTTGTTATCTTTTTAACCCATTTTGTTGTGTGTGTGTGTGTTTGAGTGGGGCGGGGGGGGGTTGGGGTGGAAGTTCTGCCATATGCTGAATAAGGGCGCCACCTGAAGAAACAGGTGAAAGACCATTAGTTCACAAGGTGTTGATTACCATTGACTGTCGGTTAGGAAATCGCACTTGATGGTGATGACGATTAAAAGAGCTGGAAAACAAACACATCCGGTTAAGCCGGGGCGCAGTGTTTACAGTAGACGTTGTCTGACTTCTACCTGGGGGCCAACTGTTTATCCTCGCCGGTAATTTTAGTTTGCCACGATTTATTTTAGCACTTTAGACATGTAAATATTTCCTGACGAAATAACAAAGCTTTCTTCTTTATATCATGTTGTCTACAATAAATTGTTGTAGCTACGCGTCGTTGTCTCATCACTGGAGTAGTTTTTGTTACGTCAATGCCCATTTTGTATTTTTTAAGTGAAGATTTTCCGATAATTCTTTTCAACAGAGTATATTTTCTCTGGCTCCTAGGTTGGCAGGCTAAAATTAGTACCTGGTAGAGTCCTGGGAAGTAAAGGCGGCCGGCATGATGCCGACCCCAACAACCCCCAAGTGCGGATAGCTCTACAAAATGTAGGTCTAGCCCTATATGCCCAAGACCCCTGAGGGCGTTGAAAAGGGTCTTTGACTTGGACATCTGACAATGTTTGACACACTCGGACACTTTAGCTTGAATTTATTGAAGGCTTATGCTCAACTAGAGAGAACTGACACAAGAGGAAGAAAGAAGGAAAGAAAGAAAGAAAGTAAGAAAGAAAGAAAGAAAGAAAGAAAGAAAGAAAGAAAGACAGACAGACAGACAGACAGACAGACAGACAGACAGACAGACAGACAGACAGACAGACAGACAGACAGACAGACAGACAGACAGAAAGAAAGAAAGAAAGAAAGAAAGAAAGAAAGAAAGAAAGAAAGAAAGAAAAACATACAGACAGAAAGAATAAAAGAAAGAAAATAAGAAGAAACAAAGAAAGAAAATAAGAAGAAACAAAGAAAGAAAAATGAAAGACAGGAAAAGAAAAAGAATGACAAAAAGGAAAGAAAGAAAGAAATCGATTTCTATTAGCACAGGAGAGAAGGAATTGTGACGACCGTTTGCTGTGAACTTTAAACTCGAACTAACTATCCGGGTTTCTTAAAAGTTATGATAAACAATGTCTGGCACTCGTAGCCTGCAGGGTAAATAATTATACTTTGTTCAGATGTTTCTTTGTGTTGGCTTGGAGTGTCTTTTTTCTAGGAACGTGAGCAGGGTGAGCAGTAGTACATTTTACCCCACTAGGACATCACACAAGCGATAAACACCCGATGACAAAAAGTGCCACCATGTGGATGAGGATCACCATGGAGAGGTCCCGGAAACCGCGTTCAACTATTAGGCCATATTTATGACCAAGTTATATTGCCGCCCCTGGATAGAACCAGGGTGGGGCTTAAAAAAATTTCATCCCCAAAGAGTCTGACTAGAATTACAAGGAGGTTGAGGGTTTACCTGTCCCGATATACCAATGGCTGACTGACTGACTTTCTACCCCACCAGGACATCACACAAGCGATAAACACCCGATGACACAAAGTGCCACCATGTGGATGAGGATCGCAGTGGAGAGGTCCCAGAAACCGCGTTCAGACAATTGGTCATATTTATGGCCTGCCTATATTGTGCCCCCTGGCAAAAGCCAGGGTGGGGCTTCAAATAACACAAAATTTCATCCTGAAAAGGACGAAACTGGATGATTGTAATACCAATGGACTGAGCAAGGTTTAGACTGTCCACCCTATACCATATACTTAAGGGGATATCAACAGAAACAGTTAAGGACCCTTTTGCACGCCTTTAGGCGTATAGGGCACATAAGGCTAGACCTATATTTTATAGACCAATCGGCACAATGTAGGTGATGTGGTCGGCATGACGCTGACCGCCTTTACTTCCCGGGACAGCACCCGGTACCCACTCAAGTCTGGGTCGACCTACAAGTAAAGGGATATAATCATCTGATAATTAATACGGCATATTTCAAGATTATTTCCCCTGTCAATCAGTAGTGCAGTTCATCACATGGCACCAACAACACCACCATTTCAATCATACTGGCAATTCATGTTCTCATTTATACTATTTAAAAAAAAATTTAAAAAAATAATGCGTAGTTATCCGATCGCGCGTTTTTTTAGTTTGTAAATAAAATATCGTGAAAAGCAGGCTAAAATGTTGTTTACCGTGTCCAGTGGACATGTGGGCATGAATTGGGTGGGTTTTTTGTAATCGTTACAACACAATGATGTATTTTATTTTAGATCATATTTGTGAGCATAGCTACTGATGCGCGAAGGAGAAAGCAACATAATGTGTGGTAGACACTACTTACTGCCTACGCAATTGAAACCCTATAAAAGGATCACGCTACGCCAAAATATTCAGTTCATTTTCAAGCAGTCACGAATGGCGCCTCTATTGACACAGTTAAGGAATATTGGTTTTGGCCTATTGCAGGCAGGAGAAAGTCAAAGCCAGGTTGCCAGGCATCTAAACGTGCATCAGAGTACCATCAGTCGACTTTGGCACCGGTTCCAAGCCACTGGCTCAGTTGAAGACCGACATCGCAGTGGACGACACATTATGACAACAGTGGCGGGAATCACTTTATTCTGCTGCGTCACCTTAGAGACAGGTTTACAACAGCTCCCTCAACTGCACAGGCATTGCCTCCAGGACGCCATGTGTCTGATCAAACTGTTGGGAACAGACTGCATGATGTTGTTGGGCACAATGACCACATCGAGTACCTGTCCTTACCCATCGCCAAAACCAAAATGGACTTTTCTGGGCCAATCAACATTGTTCCTCGGCAGGTGACAATCTTTATTTATTATTTTTTTTTGCAGCATCACGATAGACGGCGTAGGGTCTGCCGTAGATGAAATTGAGGTTTAGCCAACAATTGTGTTTGTGAAGCTCTGCTGCATGGTGGTGGAAGTGTAATGGTGGTGGAGGTGTAATGGTGGTGGAGGTGTAATGGTGTGGGGAACGATCAGTTACAACGGAAGAAGTCAATTGGTGAACACTAAAGGAAGCTTGAATGCACAACGATACATCAATGAAATTCTTATACACATATCTTTTTCAACAGGACAATGCCAGATCCACTTCTGCACAGTTGACTAGGCAGTTCCTGGCTGCCAATAACATTCAAACTTGTCCCTGTCTGCAGACAGGAGTCCGATCAAGCACCTGTGGGTTGAGCTGCAAAGACAAGTTTGTCGCTGAGACGTTGCTCCAGCCAACGGTCGAGATCTGTTCCAAGCACTCCTGTAAGAGTTGGTAGCCATCACACATCTGATCGCATCCATGCCCAGGAGACGACAGTCACTGATCCACACAAAAGGAGGCAACACACCATACTAACAGGAAAGGTTTACGCCTAAACATTATCGCGACCCAGATGCAAAACAAATAAAAAATGTGTGAACTGATTGGTGGTATTTTTGTGTGAAATTTCAGTAATTTCACTTACTGCCCTGCAGAATACTAAAACTGTGAGAGTATGTTCCTTTCAGTAACTATATGTTTTTTTTTAACAGTACAGAAACAGAACAGGCTGATATGAAATCTAAGTGTTTCACAATGATCTAATGTGTAAATCATAATTTTAAAATGTTAGGTGAACAGAAAAGCAAAAATGTCACAAAAAGATGTCAAACAAAATGAAAGGTAGACCCGGCGTCATGTCATCAAAACACAAATGACAAGCGAATGTTGTAGCCAGAAAGCCTTCATCAGTACACTTCATGACTAGACAATATCAGAAATAAAAACAAGAATACACAAATCACTCTCTCTCTTAGAGAAACCTACATCTGTCTGCCCTAGAGAAATCCACATCTATGTCTGTCCAAGTGATATCCACATCCATGTTTGCCCTAGAGAAATCCACATCTATGTCTGTTCTAGAGAAATCCACATCTATGTCTGCCCTAGAGAAACCCACATCTATGTCTGTTCTAGAGAAATTCACATCTATGTCTGCTCTAGAGAAACCTACATCTATGTCTGCACTAGAGAAATCCACATCTATGTCTGTTCTAGAGAAATCCACATCTATGTCTGTTCTAGAGAAATCCACATCTGTGTCTGCTTCAGGTTTTAAAGAAAGTTCTAAAACAGGTTTTGTTAAATAATTGCCTTCTGCGAGATAGAAATAGGTCAGAGTTGAACAACACACCTACTGCTGGCTTAAGGAGAATTAATTTGACTCATAGTGATGACCGGATTCATACCTGGAAAAAACAAAAAACGGGAAAGAAGGTGGGGATAGTAGACACTCCTACTTCTGGGGTAAAGGATCTGGCACCTAGGGTTCTAAGATGAGGGATTGAAACATTTGATGACCATGCGTGCATGCATGTTGCTTATTTTAATAATCCTTCCACAGCTTTAAATGGGCAACTGCTCACAAATAACAGATCGGAAGGTCGTGGGTTTGGTTCCTGACGAGAGTCAGATTTTTAAAAAAAATGACCTTGGCTCCCATGTGGACCCAGCCTTGAGTGGGTCCCAGGTGCAGTCATGGGAAGTAAAGGCTGCCGACCTGATGCACCCATATTGTGCCAATTGGTCTATAAAACACAGGTCTAGCCCTATAAACCCAATACGCCAAAAAGGTGTGGAAAACGGCCCTTTTCTTTTTACTTACTGCCAAAAAATTCATTGGTCATTCTGGAATACATACACATGATCGTTGCTAGTGCTACAGAGTTTGTGCACAGTGCTGAGATTCTCATTTTGTGAGCTATGGAAAGAGACTGAGACACCTCTTGGGGATACCGTGTGCAATGAAAGTGATCTTTCACACGCACACACAAACAAACAAACAAATGTTGTTCATGTTATGTCTTTTACTGCTATACATAAAATAATGCTGCATGCTACTTTAAGGACTTTTTTGCTCTCCAGTCCAAAATCTCCTCCAGCTCGTCTTCATCAACATCTTCTTCGCTGTTTTCCTTCCTCTGACCGCCTGCTTTAGAGTTCTTCAAGATAGTCTCCTTCTGGACATGCAGGTTCTCAACTTCCTGCCACCGGTGACTGCAATAATAAACAAAACACACAAGTAAAAACTATTATGCTACTGGGTTCAACAGCTACTTAATGCAGTCCATGGTCTCAGAGCTGTCATACAACCATGGACACATCATAGACCTACCCCAGCCCATGGTCTCTGAGCTGGTCATACAACCATAGACACATCAGGGACCTACCACAGTCCACAGTCTCCAAGCTGGTCATACAACCATGGACACATCAGGGACCTACCACAGCCCATGGTCTCTGAGCTGGTCATACAACCATAGACACACCAGGGACCTACCACAGCCCATAGTCTCTGAGCTGTCATACAACCATAGACATATCAGGGATCTACCACAACCAATGGTCTCTGAGCTGGTCATACAACCATGGACACATCAAGGACCTACCACAGCCCATAGTCTCCAAGCTGGTCATAGAACCATGGACACATCAGGGACCTACCACAGTCCATGGTCTCTGAGCTGGTAATACAACCATAGACACACCAGGGACCTACCACAGCCCATGGTCTCAGAGCTGGTCATACAACCATATACACATCAGGGATCTACCACAGCCCATGGTCTCTGAGCTGGTCATACAACCATAGACACATCAGGGGCCCATGGTCTCTGAGCTGGTCATACAACCATGGACGCCAGTTAAAGAAGCTTTTCTGTGTCTTCAGACATATGAAGTCAATGATCTTCCTCTTGTTCTTCATGTCCTCCTTTACCACTTCAGGTATCGAGCGAGGTATAAGCTCCTGCTTTTTGCTCTTCTGGCCACCTAGACCAATATCACATTGTAATACTGTGCCCTCTGATGTTATCTTTCCATCTTGTTCTTGGTGTACCTTGTGCTCTCCATTACTCTTCTCTTATCGTGGTTACCTTGTATGGTTATAGGTATATGACGCTTGCCCCAACTTGTTATAGATCAGCTGCTCGAGGCAGGTGATGCAGATAATTTCTTTCCTTCTTCTTAATTGGTCCTTAAAAGGGTGACTGGCACACTGGGTTGTGGTTTACAGCTAGGCTGTAAAATATCTGCACCTATCTGATCAACATCCAGTTTCAACAAGACTTAAGTAAGTCACCTGTTTCAGCATGTTTCTAAAGAACAATGTGTCTGTTTATCCCACCGTTACCACTGGTTGCAGTACACTACACATCCCACCACCACCACCATCACTACCACCACCATCACCACCACCACCACCACCACTACCACCATCACCACTACCACCATCACCACTACCACCACCACCATCACCACTACCACCACCTACCATACTGGACCTTGAAATCCAAACATGGAGCACATGTGATCCATTCACAGAAAAAAAAACTTACATCTGGTCATCTATTTCATCAATATTTCTGTCTATGTTCAATTGCTCATCTTCTTCCTCCATGATCACCTCTGACACCTGTAAGTAGACCAGAACCAGTCTTATATCAATCCTGTGTGAATCAAAACACATCATATGTCAAGTCTATGTATATCAGAACCTATCATTTGTCAAGTCTATGTATATCAGAACCTATCATATGTCAAGTCTATGTATATCAGAACCTATCATATGTCAAGTCTATGTATATCAGAACCTATCATATGTCAAGTCTATGTATATGAGAATTATTCTACAAGGGGAAGTCAATAAGGAAGTCATAAATGGTTATATGACGGCAGGAAAATGAAGTTGGTGGTTTCTAAAGGTGTCATTAGGTGACAACAAGAACAAACTTTATGTCTCGGTTTGTTAGGTGGCGGCAGGTGTTGCATGCGCATTCGCAACACAGAACTAAAATGGTGATTGTAGTGATGGAGCATACCCTCAAAGACCCTTGTGCATTTGGGGGAAATAGTGGGGGGTGGGGGAGGGGGCAAAAGGGCTGCCTGCAAAGGACATTCATAAGGATGGAGGAGAAGACATGCTGAACTACTGGGGACGAATCATGACTGCATCACTACCAGCCTGAATCAAAGCGTGCTTCAAAGCAATGGAAACATCTTTCTTCGCTTGTGTTCACAAGCTTAAGGTTACGCCATCAGCAGGGAAGGCTGTGCTGACAGTGTTCTGGGATTGTTATGGAGTCCTTTTCACAAATAAAAAAATTAAACAAGGTGGCAATGTGAATGCTGATTCATACTGTCTAGTTCTGTCAATGCTTCATGATGCAATTCAAAGAAAATGTCCAGGCCTGCTGACTAGAGGAGTACTCCTTCAAGACAATGCCAGACCACAGACGGCTCAGGCTAACTCAGGAGAAAATTAACCATCTAGAGTGGGAACTTCTGGAACATCCACCTCCCAGCCCCGACTTAGCCCCTTGCAACATTTCTGGTCCACTGAACACCCATCTTGGCGGGAGACATTTCGTGAATGATAATGAAGGTGAATGTGAAGTGAAAGTGTAGTTTAGAAAACAGAGCACGCAGTTCTATGCAGCAGATTTGGGAGGACTGACAAAACGATGGGACAAGTGCATCAATGTTGGTGGAAATTATGTTGAAAAATAAAGGGACAGTATATGTGTAAAAATAAATGGTTTTTAAGTTGTTATGGCTTTTATTTTTCTGTGTCCATGGGTGAGATTACTGAAATCTCAGGGTGCTGAAATCTTCAGCTTTCAGTCAGGAGATGATGCAACACAGCAGACTCATGTGTGGAGTTGAGCACACGTCCCAGTTGATACTTAGAGCATTCAAAACAGTTGAGTTAAGCACACATCCCATTTGATACTTAGAGTATTCAAAACAGTTGAGTTGAGCACACATCCCATTTGATACTTAGAGCATTCAAAACAGTTGAGTTGAGCACACATCCCATTTAATACTTAGAGCATTCAAAACAGTTGAGTTAAGCACACATCCCATTTGATACTTAGAGCACTCAAAACAGTTGAGCTGAGCATAAATCCCATTTGATACTTAGGGCACTCAAAACAGTTGAGTTAAGCACACATCCCATTTAATACTTAGGGCACTCAAAACAGTTGAGTTAAGCACACATCCCATTTGATACTTAGGGCACTCAAAACAGTTGAGTTGAGCACATGTCCCAGTTGATACTTAGAGCACTCAAAACAGTTGAGTTGAGCACATGTCCCGGTTGATACTTAGAGCACTCAAAACAGTTGAGTTAAGCACACATCCCATTTGATACTTAGGGCACTCAAAACAGTTGAGTTAAGCACACATCCCATTTGATACTTAGGGCACTCAAAACAGTTGAGCTGAGCATAAATCCCATTTGATACTTAGGGCACTCAAAACAGTTGAGTTAAGCACACATCCCATTTAATACTTAGGGCACTCAAAACAGTTGAGTTAAGCACACATCTTATTTGATACTTAGAGCACTCAAAACAGTTGAGTTAAGCACACATCCCATTTGATACTTAGGGCACTCAAAACAGTTGAGTTAAGCACACACCCCATTTGATACTTAGAGCATTCAAAACAGTTGAGCTGATATGATGTCCCAGTTGATACTTAGGGCATTCAAAACAGTTGAGCTGAGCGCACATCCCAATTAATACTTAGGGTATTCAAAACAGTTGAGCTGAGCGCACATCCCAAATAATACTTAGGGTATTCAAAATAGTTGAGCTGAGCACACATCCCAGTTGAGCACTAACAATAGTCAAGCTGAGAAAAATCAAGTAGATTCATATGCTTGTTCTAGACATCTGCTTACTGAAATGGAGGAAGATAAAAAGAAGAAGAAGAAGACAGAACTGTCAGTTTTATCCAAGTGTTGAGGGCAGTTAAAGTGCAGAGAGACTGGAGCATTCAAAATAAACACAGATAAAATAATGTCAAGAGATATTATTTGTTTGTATCGAAAATAACAGTGAGGGAAAATAATAGTGAGGGAAAATAATAGTGAGGGAAAATAATAGTTAGGGAAAATAATATTGGGGAAAAATAATAGTGAGGGAAAATAATAGTGTGGGAAAATAACAGTGAGGGAAAATAACAGTGAGGGAAAATAATAGTGAGGGCAAATAACAGTGAGGGAAAATAATAGTGAGGGAAAATAACAGTGAGGGAAAATAATAGTGAGGGAAAATAATAGTGAGGGAAAATAACATTGAGGGAAAATAATAGTGAGGGAAAATAATGCTCAGAGAAAATAATTTAGAAATATAATAACTTTGTAGGGAAAATAATTTAGAAATTTAATAACTTTGTAGGGAAAATAACTTTGAAAGATAATAACTTGTTTGTAGAGGGAAAAAATTGGGAAATATAACAACTTGTTTTAAGTGGAAATACTTACATGGGCTTCTTCTTTAATAGCTTTCTGAAACAGTTCCCATTCTTCCTCTTCCTTGTTTTTGTAAACGACCTCCCTGACCTGAAGATTAAAACATGAATCCATGATGAAGGTGAAACAAACATCTGATATTTGAATGTGAACACAAAAATGTAACTTCTTCTTAATTCCAAGCTCTTTATGATTAATGCTGCAGATACCATCATCAGTCAATCAATCAGGTGTCATCTCCACACTGAAGGCTGGCTGCAGTGGATCTCTAACAAGCTCTGTCTCTTGTCCTGGTTGTACACTCTTTCAGACTGTAGTTCATCCATCTCTTGATGTTGACCTTCCACTTGTATCACTGTCTATCTCTTGCCCGCTTGCCCTCGACCTTTCCTCCAGTGAGTGCTTTAAGTCGGATCTGTAAAACAGATGTGCACGCAACACTCAGATTCTGGAACAAACAAACAAAAATGTCCAGAACTTTGCGCTGGAGTTTACAGCCCATGAACTCGAAGAAGAAGAAGAAGAAGAAGAAGAAGAAGAAGAAGAAGAAGAAGAAGAAGAAAAAGAAGAAGAAGAAGAAGAAAAAGAAATCTATGTTGTGATGAAGTGAAAATATACAGTTAGAAAAACATGCGACAGGTAAACTGACTACATGTTTCAGGAAATACAAATTCTGCTGCTAGAGGGAACTGATCTCAGTCACACTATCTTGATAGGCAAGGTCATTATCCACTGCACAGCAATGTTTCTTACAGGAACAAACTCAAACAAACCTTTGCATCCTGTTTTGGGTCATCAAAGAAACCTTCTGGCAAAACCTCAGACATTTTCTTGTTGTGTGACGGCTCCGGATTGACCTCGTCTGAGCTGGACACATTATTGGGTGAGTCGAAGAAATCTGAAACATGTCACTGATTCAGTTAGGTCACTGATTCTGTCAGTCTCAGAGGTCATGTCACTGATTCTGTCAGTCTCAGAGGTCATGTCACTGATTCTGTCAGTCTCAGGGGTCATGCTACTGGTTCTGTTAGCCACAGAGGTTAGGTCACTGATTCTGTCAGTCTCAGAGGTCATGTCACTGATTCTGTCAGTCTCAGAGGTCATGTCACTGATTCTGTCAGTCTCAGAGGTCATGTCACTCTATGTCAGTATTTGAGAACTACATGGAATCCCTATGGGCATGCCTCCCTTCCTGTCTAAGAACAGTGTCAGAGTAGACTGCATACAGACAGAGCTGAAGGAAAGTCCTTGCAATCTTCTTGGTGTTTTCCAGCTGTAAACTCCAGCAGAAAGATCTGGGTCTCCATCAACCTCTGGACTTTAGTCTTGTTCCAGAGCCTGACTGTTGCATGCACACCCGTTCCACACATCTGGCTTATCTGTATGCAGACTCTTGGTTTTTTGCCACTTTGACATACTCTGACTTTGAAAGATGCCCCCAATTAGTCGACGCCTACAATATGCATGCTGGGGAAGCAGTGGGTCTATTCTTGTTTTCCCACAATGTGACCCAGTAACCCACATGGGTGACCTAAGATCCACATCCATGAGCTGACACACTAGTCTGTCAATGTCCACTGCTGGACCAAGCCACAATAGGTGCTTTATTAATATCTTACCCCCAGATGACGTCACAAGACAGACCAACATTTTAGAGGCTGGTAAGACTGGGTTTCCCAGCTTTCTGATGTTTTTAATGACCCCAAAATATCTAGAACTGGCCCTAACCCCAACCAACTTAGGTCCCATGAGAGAGTGCAGCCTAAGTCCCACGAATGCATGCCGCCTATCTACCAGTGCCCTGAAATATTAGACTGTCCACTGACCTGTGGATTTTCCCTGTTTGGGGTAAGATATTAATAAAGAACCCCACAACATACTCCTCCCAAAACAGTTTCCCATGCTGCCTAAGCACAGTGTAACACTACTGTAAGCAAAGACACAACAAGAATGACAAAACAGAACTGACAACTGACACAACAAGAATGACAAAACAGAACTGACAACTGACACAACAAGAATGACAAAACAGAACTGACAACTGACCCCCGGGGAGACTGGTTTTCGATGACTTTGTTAAGGAAGCACCAGCATCTGACTTTAGTGTCGACGTCTCGGATTCTTCCTCATCATCGCCATCATCATCATCAGATTCTTCACTTGAGGAAGATGAGGAGTATCCAGCCAGAAAGGCCGCTCTGGCTCTTTCTTTAACTTGACTCCTGGAATCCTTGGAGTCAGTGCTAGCAGGGTCTTTCTGCAATCTTTGAGAAACAAAAGTGGACACACAAATGAAGGCAGGAAGTAACACAGCCACACATGGTTGGCCGATCACATGTGGGTCAGTGAGTTCAAGGATATGGACAAGATGGAGGAGATGTTCTTACAAGTGCTGTGACATGTCAGTCATCTACATCAGGAACAGAATAATCAGGATCTTCTTATGCTTTTTCTTCTTCTTACCATTCACTGGCTGTAAAACTCTGGCAGAAAGTTATGGCTGTTCATCCACTCCTATAATTGGGACTTATTCTAGAATATGACTTTTGAGCATACATCTGTTTTCCATAGATGGCTCACCCTGTGCAGTCTGTTGGTTGCTCCCCTATCAGGCAGACAATCTGATTTAAAAGGAAATAACCTTAATTGGTCATCCTCTTTAATTATGCTTGTTAGGGGAAGTGGGTCTACCTTCTCCCCCCCCCCCCCCCCCCCCCCACCCCAAACGGGCCCTAGAACACACATAGGTTTGCACTGGACCACACACACACTGTAGAACACAAGTTTAGGTTTGTACTGGACCACACACACACTGTAGAACACAAGTTTAGGTTTGTACTGGACCACACACACACTGTAGAACACAAGTTTAGGTTTGTACTGGACCACACACACACTGTGGAACACAAGTTTAGGTTTGTACTGGACCACACACACACATTGTAGAACACAAGTTTAGGTTTGTACTGGACCACACACACACTGTAGAACACAAGTTTAGGTTTGTACTGGACCACACACACTGTAGAACACAAGTTTAGGTTTGTACTGGACCACACACACACTGTAGAACACAAGTTTAGGTTTGTACTGGACCACACACACACTGTAGAACACAAGTTTAGGTTTGTACTGGACCACACACACACTGTAGTACACAAGTTAGGATTGTACTGGACCACACACACATTGTAGAACACAAGTTTAGATTTGTACTGGACCACACACACACTGTGGAACACAAGTTTAGGTTTGTACTAGACCACACACACACTGTAGAACACAAGTTTAGGTTTGTACTGGACCACACACACACTGTAGAACACAAGTTTAGGTTTGTACTGGACCACACACACACTGTAGAACACAAGTTTAGGTTTGTACTGGACCACACACACACTGTAGAACACAAGTTTAGGTTTGTACTGGACCACACACACACATTGTAGAACACAAGTTTAGGTTTGTACTGGACCACACACACACTGTAGAACACAAGTTTAGGTTTGTACTGGACCACACACACACTGTAGAACACAAGTTTAGGTTTGTACTGGACCACACACACACTGTAGAACACAAGTTTAGGTTTGTACTGGACCACACAAGTTTAGGTTTGTACTGGACCACACAAGTTTAGGTTTGTACTGGACCACACAAGTTTAGGTTTGTACTGGACCACACACACACTGTAGAACACAAGTTTAGGTTTGTACTGGACCACACACACACTGTGGAACACAAGTTTAGGTTTGTACTGGACCACACACACACTGTAGAACACAAGTTTAGGTTTGTACTGGACCACACACACACTGTAGAATAGAAGTTTAGGTTTGTACTGGACCACACACACACTGTAGAACACAAGTTTAGGTTTGTACTGAATCACACACACACACACACACACATTGTAAAACACAAGTTTAGGTTTGTACTGGACCACACACACACACTGTAGAACACAAGTTTAGGTTTGTACTGGACCACACACACACTGTAGAACACAAGTTTAGGTTTGTACTGGACCACACACACACTGTAGAACACAAGTTTAGGTTTGTACTGAATCACACACACACTGTAGAACACAAGTTTAGGTTTGTACTGGACCACACACACACTGTAGAACACAAGTTTAGGTTTGTACTGAATCACACACACACACACACACATTGTAAAACACAAGTTTAGGTTTGTACTGGACCACACACACACACTGTAGAACACAAGTTTAGGTTTGTACTGGACCACACACACACTGTAGAACACAAGTTTAGGTTTGTACTGGACCACACACACACTGTAGAACACAAGTTTAGGTTTGTACTGAATCACACACACACACACACACATTGTAAAACACAAGTTTAGGTTTGTACTGGACCACACACACACACTGTAGAACACAAGTTTAGGTTTGTACTGGACCACACACACACTGTAGAACACAAGTTTAGGTTTGTACTGAATCACACACACACATTGTAGAACACAAGTTTAGGTTTGTACTGAATCACACACACACACACTGTAAAACACAAGTTTAGGTTTGTACTGAACCACACACACACTGTAGAACACAAGTTTAGGTTTGTATGAATCACACACACACATTGTAAAACACAAGTTAGGTTTGTACTGGACCACACACACACTGTAAAACACAAGTTTAGGTTTGTACTGGACCACACACACTGTAAAACACAAGTTTAGGTTTGTACTGGACCACACACGCACACACTGTAGAACACAAGTTTAGGTTTGTACTGAATCACACACACACATTGTAAAACACAAGTTTAGGTTTGTACTGAATCACACACACACATTGTAGAACACAAGTTAGGTTTGTACTGGACCACACACACACTGTAGAACACAAGTTTAGGTTTGTACTGGACCACACACACACTGTAGAACACAAGTTTAGGTTTGTACTGGACCACACACACACTGTAGAACACAAGTTTAGGTTTGTACTGGACCACACACACACTGTAGAACACAAGTTTAGGTTTGTACTGGACCACACACACACTGTAGAACACAAGTTTAGGTTTGTACTGGACCACACACACACTGTAGAACACAAGTTTAGGGTTTGTACTGGACCCACACACACACTGTAGAACACAAGTTTAGGTTTGTACTGGACCACACACACACTGTAGAACACAAGTTTAGGTTTGTACTGGACCACACACACACTGTAGAACACAAGTTTAGGTTTGTACTGGACCACACACACACTGTAGAACACAAGTTTAGGTTAGCATTTGTTTAGATCCATTTAGATTATCACTTTTCTCCTTGGGTCCAGTCATGTTTTCCAATCTCGTCACAGCCTGACCACATCAATCTTCATCTTCTTCTGCATTCATAAATCTTCCATCTGATTGCTTGTATTGTGGCTTGTGGACTGGCAGAATAAGTTTGAAGTGGTTAAGTCCTAAACAATGTTTCCGCACTTGTCTCCAAGCCTGATACCAAGAACCATGTTATTTGTTGTCCACATCAAAATGTTAGTACACTAGCCTGACCCCCCCCTTGAACTCTGCCCTCCAATGCATCAGCCATCTCAGTGTCTTCATGCTCATCAAACACAGTAGAAGTTGACTGGCACCTCTCCTTTCTCTGTCCTGCCACAACCATGCCCATCACACCCAGTAGAAGTTGACTGGCACATCTTCATTCTTTGTCCTGTCACAGCCATGCTCATCAAACACAATAGAAGTTGACTGGCATCTCTCCTTTCTCTGTCCTGTCACAGCCATGCTCATCAAACACAATAGAAGTTGACTGGCATCTCTCCTTTCTCTGTCCTGTCACAGCCATGCTCATCAAACACAATAGAAGTTGACTGGCATCTCTCCTTTCTCTGTCCTGTCACAGCCATGCTCATCAAACACAATAGAAGTGGACTGGCATCTCTCCTTTCTTTGTCCTGTCACAGCCATGCTCATCAAACACAGTAGAAGTTGACTGGCATCTCTCCTTTCTTTGTCCTGTCACAGCCATGCTCATCAAACACAGTAGAAGTTGACTGGCATCTCTCCTTTCTTTGTCCTGTCACAGCCATGCTCATCACACCCAGTAGAAGTTGACTGGCATCTCTCCTTTCTCTGTCTGTCACAGCCATGCCCATCACACCCAGTAGAAGTTTACTGGCACATCTCCTTTCTCTGTCCTGTCACAGCCATGCCCATCACACCCAGTAGAAGTTGACTGGCACATCTCCTTTCTCTGTCATGCCACAACTGTTTCTGCACTCTTTTCCTACTTTATTACCACTTCCCACAGGACCCCCCCCCCCCCTTTTCCCTTGAGAGGCTTAACCTTTGTTCACCCACAGGAAACTGTGCAGCAACAACATCAAGCTATGCCTCAGCCTGGGCTTAGTGATGCTAAATATAGGATTAATATAAGGGGTTTGATTGGTTGATAGAATTAGGAAAAATCCCTAGGTTGGAGGGAGTCACCGTGGCATAGCAACTAGACGCTGGCCTGCAAATCGGAAGGTCGTGGTTTCACTTCCTGGCAGAGACAGACTTTTGTTTAAATGACTTAGGCTCCCAGACAGACCCAGCCTTGACTGGGTACCAGGTGCAGACCTGGGAAGTAAAGGCAGCCGGCATGACGCTGACCACATTACTAAAATATAGGTCTAGCCCTATATGCCCTATAGGCCTAAAGGCGTGGAAAAGGGTGCTTGACTTTTACTTAATTACCCCAGATTGGAAGACATGAAGTCAGAATGACAAAACACGAGACTGCGAGTAGACTTGGGTACACAAGATAACCAGCAAGTCATTCTGTGACAGGATCGCAGAGAGAGAAGTAGTAAAAGCGGACCCAGAGTGAGGAGGAGTGAATGTTGTGCATCGTCTACATCAAAGTCATGTTGAAGTACACCTGAAAGAAGCAGAACAGATGTGTTCTGTTGACTGGTAGTTGTGCCAAAAGTGTGAATGTCAACATCGTGGCTGTATGCTCAAAGTGCCAGTACATGGACCTTGCATGAACGACACAAGTGTTAAGCTGCAAAGTTGACAGTAGACTGGCAACGGATTTTTGCAGCTTATATGCTACTACTAATAAATATAAAACTGTAAACAGCTCTTGTTGAGTGTCATTTGGAGACGTTCGATAGTTGACTGTGAGAGAAATCTGTCCTGTCTGATCTGTGAACTCTACCTACCTGTAGACAACAGGCAGTGTCTGAGAAGTACTGGTGAGATCTCAGTCAAAGAGACACATGACACTGGGCCATCTTGTCTCTAGTGACCATGTCAGACAGGTCGATGTTGCATCGGATGGAGTGACATGAAGTGTCTCTTGTGCACCGGTGTTATGCACATTCTACATATAGACATATGTACCAGAATCATTTAGGTTCAACTTATACGACACTTGTACCTCATATGACACACTGACATATCAACCAACAAATATATTGACATCTCATACAACATTCCTCATCTGCACACTGCAGACACTCTCTGACCTACATACTGAAATCTCAAGATACGTCTGTCGTTAATCATCGCTTTACTCACATTTTAAAGTCTGTTGTTGGCTCTGTGGAATACAAAATGACATTGCAGTTTCAAACATAACAAATCAGCAATTTCAGAATCAAATTACTTTTTAAAACAAAGAAGGAATGAATAAAATTAGATAGGAAAAGATTCACTGAGTAGGTATGATAAAGAACAACAGAGACAGAGACAACAGAGAGATTTGTTTTAAAGTTAGTCGCATTTCTTGTACACAATATTGCAAACCACATCTAGTATCAGTTGGCTATTTGTGTTTTTCCTAAGCAATTTTATGTTCAGTAGTTTGCCGTTGTTTTCTGGTCTCTCATACCATCATCCAAATTACCACAGAGAACTCTGCTGCAGCTGAATCGAATTAGGTATTTCAGAATTACAAACTATGTACATAACCCTAATGCCTCAGATGCCGACTAGAAAAGGCTCACTGGACACAACAGAAAACATATCACTGTTTTCCAACTCAGTTTAGTCAAAGGTATTAAATTTACTTATTGTCATAAAAGACTGAAATAAGAAAAACATTTTAGAATATGTTTATACAATAAGCTTTTATTACTTCAGTTGCATAAAAAAAGCAATGCTCTAACAAGACGAAAAATATGTTCATATGGTTTATCAAATTTATACTGTACGCATACTTTATCATATAATTTAATTGATAAATGAGTTTAACTAATTATCTTTACAAACAATCATCTACAATTTGACACCACAACTCATACAAGCGTAATTCCAGACTATATAAATGTGCAAAATCTCAGACCGATAGCTTATCAGCAAATAGTAAAAAACATTTTTATTATGCCCAATTTGTATTTTTTTTTAAATTTTTACTAAATAAAACCTTATAAGAAATGCTTCCACTTCTACCCTGGGATACAGAGATGTCTTGGGATATAGTTGAGCCTTCTGTCCTCTACAACAGGATACCCTGGGATACAGTGGGTTTTTCTGTCCACTACAACAGGATACCCTGGGATACAGAGATGCCTTGGGATACAGTTGAGTTTTCTGTCCACTACAACAGGATACCCTGGGATATAGTTGAGTTTTCTGTCCACTACAACATGATACCCTGGGATATAGTTGAGTTTTCTGTCCACTTCAACAGGATACCCTAGGATACAGTTGAGTTTTCTGTCCACTACAACAGGATACCCTGGGATATAGTTGAGTTTTCTGTCCACTACAACAGGATACCCTGGGATACAGAGATTCCCTGCTTCCTTCGAAGTCGAAGTACAGCTGCCCATGAGGCAGGGAACAACAAAACAGTTGTACACGCAAAACTCAGGTCCAGGTAAAAGCCAAAAACCAAGCGGACGATCAACCGGGACCTTTCGCCGGAATTCACAGCCGGTGAACGACGAAGAAGAAGAAGAAGAGATTCCCTGGGATATAGGTGAGTCTTCTGTCCACTACAACAGGATACCTTGGGATATAGTTGAGTCTTCTGTCCTCTACAGCAGGATACCTTGGGATATAGTTGAGTCTTCTGTCCACTACAACAGGATACTCTGGGATACAGAGATGCCTTGGGATATAGTTGAGTCTTCTGTCCTCTACAACAGGATACTCTGGGATACAGAGATGCCTTGGGATATAGTTGAGTCTTCTGTCCTCTACAACAGGATACTCTGGGATACAGAGATGCCTTGGGATATAGTTGAGTCTTCTGTCCTCTACAACAGGATACTCTGGGATATAGTTGTGTTTTCTGTCCTCTACAACAGGATACTCTGGGATACAGAGATGCCTTGGGATATAGTTGAGTCTTCTGTCCTCTACAACAGGATACTCTGGGATACAGTTGTGTTTTCTGTCCTCTACAACAGGATACTCTGGGATACAGAGATGCCTTGGGATATAGTTGAGTCTTCTGTCCTCTACAACAGGATACTCTGGGATACAGTTGTGTTTTCTGTCCTCTACAACAGGATACTCTGGGATACAGAGATGCCTTGGGATATAGTTGAATCTTCTGTCCTCTACAACAGGATACTCTGGGATATAGTTGTGTTTTCTGTCCTCTACAACAGGATACTCTGGGATACAGAGATGCCTTGGGATATAGTTGAGTCTTCTGTCCTCTACAACAGGATACTCTGGGATACAGTTGAGTTTTCTGTCCACTACAACAGGATACCCTGGGATACAGAGATGCCTTGGGATACAGTTGAGTTTTCTGTCCACTACAACAGGATACCCTGGGATATAGTTGAGTTTATTGTCCACTACAACAGGATACCCTGGGATATAGTTGAGTTTTCTGTCCACTTCAACAGGATACCCTGGGATACAGTTGAGTTTTCTGTCCACTACAACAGGATACCCTGGGATATAGTTGAGTTTTCTGTCCACTACAACAGGATACCCTGGGATATAGTTGAGTTTTCTGTCCACTTCAACAGGATACCCTGGGATACAGAGATTCCCTGCTTCCTTCGAAGTCGAAGTACAGCTGCCCATGAGGCAGGGAACAACAAAACGGTTGTACACGCAAAACTCAGGTCCAGGTAAAAGCCAAAAGTCCAAGCGGAGGATCAACCGGGACCTTTCGCCGGAATTCACAGCCGGTGAACGAAGAAGAAGAAGAGATTCCCTGGGATATAGGTGAGTCTTCTGTCCACTACAACAGGATACCTTGGGATATAGTTGAGTCTTCTGTCCTCTACAGCAGGATACCTTGGGATATAGTTGAGTCTTCTGTCCACTACAACAGGATACTCTGGGATACAGAGATGCCTTGGGATATAGTTGAGTCTTCTGTCCTCTACAACAGGATACTCTGGGATACAGAGATGCCTTGGGATATAGTTGAGTCTTCTGTCCTCTACAACAGGATACTCTGGGATATAGTTGTGTTTTCTGTCCTCTACAACAGGATACTCTGGGATACAGAGATGCCTTGGGATATAGTTGAGTCTTCTGTCCTCTACAACAGGATACTCTGGGATACAGTTGTGTTTTCTGTCCTCTACAACAGGATACTCTGGGATACAGAAATGCCGTGGGATATAGTTGAGTCTTCTGTCCTCTACAACAGGATACTCTGGGATACAGTTGTGTTTTCTGTCCTTTACAACAGGATACTCTGGGATACAGAGATGCCTTGGGATATAGTTGAATCTTCTGTCCTCTACAACAGGATACTCTGGGATATAGTTGTGTTTTCTGTCCTCTACAACAGGATACTCTGGGATACAGAGATGCCTTGGGATATAGTTGAGTCTTCTGTCCTCTACAACAGGATACTCTGGGATACAGTTGAGTTTTCTGTCCACTACAACAGGATACCCTGGGATACAGAGATGCCTTGGGATATAGTTGAATTTTTTGTCCTCTACAACAGGATACCCTGGGATACAGAGATACCTTGGGATTTAGTTGAGTTTTCTGTCTTCTACAGCAGGATACCCTGGGATACAGAAATGCCTTGGGATATAGTTGAGTCTTCTGTCCTCTACAACAGGATACCCTGGGATACAGAGATGCCTTGGGATATAGTTGAATTTTCTGTCCTCTACAACAGGATACCCTGGGATACAGAGATACTTTGGGATACAGTTGAGTCTTCTGTCTACTACGGCAGGATACTCAAATGAATCCAGAAAGTGGTCTTCTCTTCTTCTTGTGAGACATGACGTTACTCAAGAGTCTTGGTTGCTCTTGTCTCCTGTGTGCTCTTTTCTCTTGTACCCTGTGATGTAGTGCTACTTAGTATGGTTTAGTAATTTCTTTTCCATTCTTGAGCTCTAGAAGTCCCTTCCTGTCTCAAGTCTTCATTCTACGATTCTGGAAGATGGAAGTAACTTACATAGTTTTTTTTTCTCATAGGGTCTTGTGTGTTTTTTTCTCTGAGATGTGTTTCCCCTATCCACTTCTACTCTAGAATGTAGAGCTACAAGAGGCAACTATTTCACCTTTCTTGTTCTACCTGGGAATATAGAGGTATCCCAGTGGATTATTTTTTCATCTTTTCTATTCTACTCTGAGAGGAAAAGCTAATATTGTATATTGACAGCCATAGGAGAGAAAATAACACTGCAACAGAAGAGAGAGATGTTTACATTTACAGTGTGATTCTTCATCCAATCAAACAACTAGGAGTATAAAATTAAAGAAAAAAATATAAAACTGTAATTTAGAACTATTCAATCATGTATACAAAATCTATTCAAAAATTTATTTGAGAACAATTCAAACCTGATTTTGGCCGTTTCCTGTCAACTTTAACTGTATCATCAACTGCTTTTCTTTTCAATGGTGTGTTCGACAGATGATCTGGTTTGTCAGGTCCTTGTGTCTTTATTGCAACTGCTTTCTGGAGAAAAAGTAACTATAATTAAATTGTATTTTCATGAGCATTGAAGATTAGTTGTTGACTGATTTAATTAGAAATAAACATCACACACAGAATTCAGGGCAAACTAAAAGATGCTCAGTTTCTTGCAGCAAATGTGTAGATGGTGATCGTTTCAGTGACACACGGTTGTCAACAAAACAAACCTGCCAATTACTGCCTATATCATACCACTTTTGTGGTGTGTGGGGGGGGGGGGGTCTTTCAGCCTGATGATTTACGGCCGCATGGCTAGTGTTGTCGCCACGGACTGTGCAGGTGACATTATGCAGCCACAGTGTTATAACCTTGAACACGTTGTCTGATCTATTACTGTTTCTTCGACTGGCATTTTTTCACTGAAATTAGTGCCAATGTCTGCTTTATCCATCATAAATATTTTAATCACCGGTGCTTATGGAAATCTGCTCACTCAATCACTGCATGACCCACGTAAATCCCTGAAAGAAATAGGTGGCTATGCTTGGTGTTCACTTATTCCCCACACTTGGTGTCCACTCATTCCCCACACTTGGTGTCCACTCATTCCTCACACTTGGTGTCCACTCATTCCTCACACTTGGTGTCCATTCATTCTCCACACTTGGTGTCCACTCATTCCTCACACTTGGTGTCCATTCATTCCTCACACTTGGTGTCCACTCATTCCTCACACTTGGTGTCCATTCATTCCTCACACTTGGTGTTCACTCATTCCTCACACTTGGTGTCCATTCATTCCTCACACTTGGTGTCCATTCATTCCTCACACTTGGTGTCCATTCATTCTCCACACTTGGTTTCCACTCATTTCTCACACTTGGTGTCCATTCATTCCTCACACTTGGTGTTCACTCATTCCTCACACTTGGTGTTAACTCATTCCTCACACTTGGTGTTAACTCATTCCTCACACTTGGTGTCCATTCATTCCTCACACTTGGTGTTCACTCATTCCTCACACTTGGTGTCCATTCATTCCTCACACTTGGTGTCCATTCATTCCTCACACTTGGTGTCCATTCATTCTCCACACTTGGTGTCCACTCATTCCTCACACTTGGTGTCCATTCATTCCTCACACTTGGTGTCCATTCATTCCTCACACTTGGTGTCCACTCATTCCCCACACTTGGTGTCCATTCATTCCTCACACTTGGTGTCCATTCATTCCTCACACTTGGTGTCCACTCATTCCTCACACTTGGTGTCCATTCATTCTCCACACTTGGTGTCCATTCATTCCTCACACTTGGTGTCCACTCATTCCCCACACTTGGTGTCCATTCATTCTCCACACTTGGTGTCCATTCATTCCTCACACTTGGTGTCCACTCATTCTCCACACTTGGTGTCCACTCATTCCTCACACTTGGTGTCCACTCATTCCTCACACTTGGTGTCCATTCATTCTCCAAACTTGGTGTCCATTCATTCCTCACACTTGGTGTCCATTCATTCTCCACACTTGGTGTCCATTCATTCTCCACACTTGGTGTCCATTCATTCCTCACACTTGGTGTCCACTCATTCCCCACACTTGGTGTCCACTCATTCCTCACACTTGGTGTCCACTCATTCCCCACACTTGGTGTCCATTCATTCCCCACACTTGGTGTCCATTCATTCCCCACACTTGGTGTCCATTCATTCCCCACACTTGGTGTCCACTCATTCCCCACACTTGGTGTCCATTCATTCCTCACACTTGGTGTCCATTCATTCCCCACACTTGGTGTCCACTCATTCCCCACACTTGGTGTCCATTCATTCTCCACACTTGGTGTCCATTCATTCCTCACACTTGGTGTCCACTCATTCCCCACACTTGGTGTCCATTCATTCTCCACACTTGGTGTCCATTCATTCCCCACACTTGGTGTCCATTCATTCCCCACACTTGGTGTCCATTCATTCCCCACACTTGGTGTCCATTCATTCCCCACACTTGGTGTCCATTCATTCCCCACACTTGGTGTCCACTCATTCTCCACACTTGGTGTCCACTCATTCCCCACACTTGGTGTCCACTCATTCCCCACACTTGGTGTCCATTCATTCCCCATACTTGGTGTCCACTCATTCTCCACACTTGGTGTCCATTCATTCCCCACACTTGGTATCCACCACTCATTCCCCACACTTGGTGTCCACTCATTCCATATTTACTCATCTGGGACTTTATGCTATACAGACATTATTAGATATTTGCTTAGTTTGCTCATGTCACCAAGTGACACCGGCAGTGACCGTAGCCATCTGTGCCCTCATACTTGAAGTCACTGACCTACAGGCTCCATTCTGCTCCGTGAAAATCCCCAGCCAGATTTTCTCAAAATGTGAAGAGACAAATGGGCAACAAAGAATATCTAGAATAAATGACAACAGAGAATAAATAGAAACCAGAAATATCCCAGACAAGAAAGATGACAAAGGATAAAGTTGACAAAGGAGAAAGATGATAAATGGGAGAGTTGACAAAGGAGAAAGATGATAAATGGGTGGTGTTGACAAAGGAGAAAGATGAAAAAGGGAAAATATAATAATGGGCAGAGATGATATAGGAGAAAGATGACAAAGGGGAGAGAGGATAAAAGAGAAAGATGATAAAAAAGAAAGATGATAGAGGGGAGAGATGACAAACGAGACAGATGACAAAGAACAAAGATGATAAAGGAGAGAGATGATAAATTTGACAAAGGAGATAGATAATAAAGGGAAGAGGTGACAAAGGAGAAAGATGATAAATTTGACAAAGGAGATAGATAATAAAGGGAAGAGGTGACAAAGGAGAAAGATGGTAAATAAAGAAGACAGCAACGAAGCAAGGTGATTTAACCAAAAACAACAGATTACCTCCTTATGCTGCCTGCTCTGTAGATGACTTGTCCACAGAAGGTCATTTTTGATAATGTTGTTACAGAGCACACAGACCAGCTGGTTGAGACTGTTGTACCTGGCCAATGGAAGAACACAGGTCATTTGTGACAGTTTTATCAATCAATCAACATGTAGAGCAGCATCCATTTGAATCCCATTCCATACAAACGTGTGAAAGAAACATCAACATGTGTGACAGAAACATCAACAGGTGTGACAGAGACATTAACAGGTGTGGCAGAAACATCAACAGGTGTGGCAGAAACATCAACAGGTATGGCAGAAACATCAACAGGTGTGACAGAAATATCAACAGGTGTGGCAGAAATATCAACAGGTGTGGCAGATAACATCAACAGGTGTGACAGAAACATCAACAGGTGTGACAGAAACATCAACAGGTGTGACAGAAACATCAACAGGTGTGACATAAATATCAACAGGTGTGACAGAAACATCAACAGGTGTGAAAGAAACATCAAGAGGTGTGGCAGAAACATCAGGAGGTGTGGCAGAAACATCAACAGGTGTGGCATAATTCATCAAAATATTTATGTTAAATGAATTATGTACCAGGGGTTGGTCAGAAAAAAAAGGCCGTAGCTATTCAGAAAGCTTCCCATTGCTTAAGTAGCCGACGAATGCCGTCCGCTTGACAAACAATGGATAATTGAAATAAGGGTTTACTGCATCAATATTTGTTGCATCCATTGAGATCACACCTTCTGACATAGCAGTTTCTTACAAACCTTCTGAAGTGTTCCACCTGACACTTCAAATTGTTTTGCTAGTGAATGTTAGCTGCAACAATGGTTCACCAGCTGCACACACAATGTTTGGTGATGTGTGTCTTCTGCTGCAACAATGGTTCACCTGCTGCACACACGTTTGGTGATGGATTTATTCTGCTGCAACAATGGTTCACCAGCCCTGCTGCACAATGTTTGGTGATGGATTTCTTCTGCTGCAACAATGGTTCACCAGCCCTGCTGCACACACAATGTTTGGTGATGGATTTCTTCTGCTGCAACAATATTAGCTTAACCTGGCCAAGGAAGATAGGTCCTCTCCTAATGATTTTTGCCTACTCCTTTATTGTTGTCTTCGACACATATTTGTTACCGTACGTATGCCGGGATGCTTTGATGAAAATCAACCACTTGACATCCTTCAAATGAAAGAACTGAACCAACCTTCTTTGAGCTTATTTGAAAGGATTTTTTATCAACCCGGCCATTTTCTCTATTTTCTTATCAGGATGTGAGTAGGACTCTTTTTGTGGAAATGAAAGGTGGATTCACGCTTTCGAAAATAAATGCTATAGACGCATTTTGCTAATTAGCTATTTAGATCACAAAACTAACAAATATATCAAGACACAAGACACACAAATTTGCAGGATATTATGAGCCTCTCTTGGCAGTGGTGAAACTTCGGGCTTGGTCCGGGACAATTCAATCGCAAAAACTACTTCAAGGAACATTGGGGGATAGTCCAAGAAGAGGAGGGCAAAAAAGAACTAGAATGACAACATCAAGATAGACAGGAGACTAAGTTATCATACACTTATTCATCAAGCAGTAAAAAGAGATAAAATGATGGGATTTGTGTACTAACTGATGGTTCCATCGATACACCTCAGATAGAACAGCCTTTCACCTATCTTCCGAATAACGGTCCGAAATTATCGAAGCAGAAAATATACCCTAACAGGGCCTCTGTCACGTGTCAATTGCGCACTTCGGGCGACTTAAATTCCTCCAAGCTGCTCACGCGGCGTGGATTGGGACTAAAAAAAACGGCTGGGACTCACAAGCAGCAGCTACCGCATTTCCTGCAGCTGCCTTGATTTTATTAGCTCGTGAGTCACAGCCCTCTAGTTTAGCCCCAATCCACGCCGTGTGAGCAGCTTGGGGGATACTCTCGACGGTGGCGGTATAGTCCCTGGAAGTGCGCAAGTGACGCGTGAATGAGGCCCTGTTAGGGTATATTTTCTGCCTCAATAATTTGAGACCCGTTATTCGGGGATAGCCAGCCTTTCTGTAAACTACCATAGACTACACATGTCTACGTTAAATTACAAAATAACAGTAACAGAATATAAAAGTCGGCTGAAGTAACAACTGAAAGGTAGATTCCTGAGTAAATAATACAGCTATGGTTTGGTTAATCCTACACCTAGATGCTAGCAGTCAAAGTGAGAGTAATGTGTGCTGTGAAAATATTTGGCTCTCCTCCGAACTTCTAACCAATATTATGGCAGCCAAGCAAATAGCCTAACAGGGCCTCAGTCATGTGTAAAATGCAGACTTTCTGCCAAGGAACAAATTGCGGCAAAATTAGGATTGGCTCCCAATAACAAAACAAATGCTCTAACAGGGTCTCAGTGATATGTTAATTGCGGACCTGTTTCTGGGACTATGCCACACCACCGACAGTATCCCCCGCGCCGCTACGCGTGAATGGGGGGCTAAACTAGATGGCTGGGACTCATGAGCAGCAGCTACCGCATCTCTTGCAACTTCCTCTAATTTATTTGCTCTTGAGTTCCAGACATCTAGTTTAGATCCTCATCCACGCTGCGCCAACGGGGCGGGGGATACCGTCGGCGGTGAGTTTAAACATATTTTACGCATGCCGAAAAGTGTGAGGACAACAAAGACGCTAATCTGTGTTGGAGCGCGTGGTCTCATAGCCATGTGACTATTATCATCTGTAATGTTACATGAAATTGTCAATGGTCGCTATTATCGTCTGCAGAAACGTTTGAAAGTGTCAATGGTCGCTATTATCGTCTGCAGAAATGTTTGATTGAAAGTGTCAACGGTCGAGTATTATCGTCTGGTACTAGTACTATCGTTTACAGTGTTGCGTCTCTTGAAATTGACAAGTAATCCTAGTTTTGCCGCGATTTGTTCCTTGGCAGAAATTCCGAATTTTACGCACAACTGAGGCCCCTAAGGCTATTTGCTTGGCCGCCATAATATCGGCTAGAAGTTCGGAAGAAAGCAAATTATTTTTATTCTGACGTTGGAAGGAGCAGATCAATGTCATGTCTTCTAGACAGTAAAAATGGTGACAACAGGCAAATACTTAAATCAAAGCAGAGACCATTATACTTTCAAACAGAAACAAAGTCATACTTGGCGAGAGGGTGGTTGACTTTCTTAGAAGAATCCTTGATTGTGGACTGTTTCTCCTTCATCAAACGACGGAGATCGTCTTTAGTGACAACTTTCTTCTTAGCGGTCGCCATCTTGTAAACAAAACACTTTGGCTTTCCTTCCACGGC